CTAAAAGAACCCAATATTTCATATGATTTTATTAAATATTTATTAAAATATGTAATATTTAGTACAAATCAATAAAAAAAATATTATAAGTAAATTCTGATTTAATATKMATACATAACATTAATATGCAAATCTATAGAATAAATATTATTGTTTACTATTTATTATATTTTGTGATATATTTTGTTATATTAAGTTAAATTAAATAYATWGATTAGATTACGTATGGTATRTCAAAAAATAATAGTTACATTAAAACCTATACAATYTTTTCACAAAAATAATATAAAGTATACAGTATTGTCAAATAAAATAGTTTTATTGAATTTAGAAAGTTTTTGTTACAACTAAAATAAAGATATTTATATCTGATTTTTTATTGACTATTTATAAAATATAGTTAATAAATAATAACATTTTGCATAATTAATCTTGAATAATTATATTTATTTAATATATTTAATTTCAAAATTTAGAATAAAAAGCTTYATATCGATAATAAAAATAATTTTTATGATATAAATATACTAATTTTGTACGATATATAGCATATGAAAATATGATTTCAAGTAATAATGTTATAAATGACAACAATATATCAGTCAATAATATATACAATATGCCTAAAGTGTATTTAACTTCCACAACACGATAATCAATAATAATTTTATTATTAGAGATAATATCCTCTACTGTGATGGCCTGGATCATTTTTCTGTTATACATCAATATATCGTTTATCCATTTGCTAAATAAACCAAATTCACGTGTTCTAATTAATCTAAAAAAATTAATTTAGTAAAATTAATAATTAATATAACAAAATTATTTTACTTTAATCTTAAAATTTATATAAATTTTGAACATATAAAATATAAATTATTTAAATTATATATTGAATCATTTGAATGAAGTATTAAACATGTATTATATACTTGACTAACATTGTATTAAGTGATTGTATAATCCATTTATTGGATTTATGATTGATTGTCAAGAAAAATGGTTCCATTGATTCACTATTACGTGAAATATGCATCAAATTAATCAACTTTTCATTATCTTTTGATATATGAATCAAATAAAACTCGAGAAACAATTTCGGTAACACTAATGCCATCGAACCGTTGACTAAACCTTTAATCAACTCTTTAGTAAACATCGGATCAAATAAATAAAAATATTTTTTCAACTGCTCTTTAATAGCACGTGTCTTATCGGTATTTACTTTGTTAACATAGGCTATCATTGAACTATCGTTTCGTACCATAATATGATGTTTATGTACTATTAGATCATCCAATGTATCCAACTCTATGTCTTGTATGGGTCGCACCATATTTTCTAATAGATTTGCCGAAAATATTATTGAAATAAACAGTATTAGTATCATCCAAAAGATGACAACTACTTTACGAGGAGATTGTCGTATAAATTGTTGTATCGATGAGTTGCCTATACATAGGATCATATAATTATACAAATATTCGCCGTACTGTCGAAAACTTTGCCGACATGTGATGATTGATAGCATCGGTAGAAATATCAATAATATCATCAATAGTATCCATACATCGAAACTAAATGAGCGCAAAAARCTAAAGTAACAATCGTGGCCAGGGATGATAGATGTCATAAAGCTACCCATCTCTAAAAAGTCTACGCTCACCGATATATTAAAACCAAATTTCATTGAATTAAATATTTTATTATAAATCAAATATGTGCTGGATGCTACTGGCCATAAAGCAATGTTAATATTATTTTTCAATAGTTGCCATAAATCCATAAAATTATTTGGAAAACGTTCAAATACTACACTATAGATTTAAAAATTAGATTATTATTATTATTATTGTAATTGTAATTTATATTAATAAAAATGCTATAAAAAAGTTAGTACTATATATATATTTATTTATAAAAATTTGTTTTATTCAATAATATTTAACATACTATGATTGACTGAACTTGGCCATTTCTATAATTAATGTTAGTAATGGACCACATAATTCAGGCATATTATTGTTGTTTAAGCGACTAAAATAAAAATTATTAAATTAATTAATAAACAATAATATTGTAAAATATAATAATTTTTATAAATATTAAAATTTATATATAATGTGTTATATAAATAGTAGATTATAAGAGGATTATTATATTAAGTATTATAAGATATAAAATATTAATATTTTACATACATGTGTGTAATATATGGCGGTTCATGCATTGGTTGTACAATAAAAGTACGATTTTCGACAATAATATCCGAAAATTTTAATAACACATTTGGTTGATATGGAATACAATGATTTTTATACATTTTATGATAATTATTTTTTAGTGATTATTTTATTTAAACAAATTTTAAAACTATTTATTTGAATTTCAATTTTGTATTATAATTTGTTTCATTTAAAGAAGTTTTCAATAATATGATTTTTATGAAAATATTTCATTTTATTTATCATAATATATTATAAATACATATTTTAATATTARTATGAATAAAATACAATACTGTATAGTTATATTTGTATTAACAGGTAATATAAAATCTCATAATTGTTTTCCTATTATATGAATAACTAATAAATATTATTATTATTAGTGTTTATATAGATATTTAAGCAGTATAGATTGATATAACATCGATATTTATATAAATTTATAATAAATTTATTAAAAGAAACCAATATTTCACATTATTTTTGTTAAATTTTAAATTATTTAGTAAACTAAGAAAAGTTTACTATTATATTAAATTCTGATTTAATATTTATGAATACATTAATATGCAAATGTATTTTATTGATATTTTTAAAAAGTAATTTATAAAAAAAATTCTATATAAGATATGTATATAGAGTTTATATGTTATGTTAATATTATGTTAATATAATTTAAATGTTGTATTGTTCACTGAATACGTCATTTACAGTAATTTAATTACTGCTGTTATATTAATCTAAATTACAATAAATAGATTAGGTTAGGTCCTAGCTCAAATACACTGTTACATATTATTTAATTTTTTAATTACTCATATTTTGATTAAGATTGTTATGTAATTTAATAGTATATAAAATTAGTTATTTAATTTGTGTATTATAATTTTTTTGTTTTTTTATCTTGGTCATTAATTATGTTTTTAAAATAAGGGACCGTATAATCATCCGATTCATTATTAATCTATAGTATAGAATCTATACTAACTATAATACAGTATTAATCAGTAATAAATAAAGATATCATATAATATTTACTATCATAAATACTGGTTAATATAACAAATTTATGTATAAAAATAAAATGATTTTACTAAATATAAAAAATATATAGCTACTAATTTTATAAAATTAAATAATTAATTAATAAACACCAAAAAATAAATCAATTCTATAAAATATATTATAAATTAATTAATTATTTAATTTAAAAAACTTGTATTTGTTTTCTTCTATGTTTTAGTTAACAAACTTTATTTTTCAATATCTTATTATTTATTTAACCTATTAATTAAAGTAAATTGTTTTACTATTAAAGATAAATTATATACAAGTATAATTTAGTAGCAAATAATTAAATATAAAAAATGTTTTATCATTCACATATAAATGATAATTAATGTGGAAACATTTTTATCTAAAATATTCAACTATAATATAAAAATGATAATTTATACAATTAAATACAATACAATACACTTATTCAATAAAATAAAAAATAATGTAATATTAATATATAATATCAATATAAACTACAGTATGAACTGTATTTACGTTTCATATTGATGTCATATGATAATGAAATGTATAATATTTAAATAAAAATAAAATTAACTATTTTTGTTGTTTGATATTTTATATTAACATTTGTTTTTTTAAATACCATWTGTGTTATTAATGGCTGATGAAAAATGTCAAGTTTGTGGTGATAAGCCAACAGGTACAGTATAATATTTATATTTATTTATTATATTTAATTTTTGTTTTTAATGTTTTTAACTTATTAATATATATTTCTATAAAAATAATATTGTATCCAGGTAGAAACTATACAGTATACTCATGTGAATCTTGTAAATCATTTTTTAGAAGACAAATATTCAATAATAAAGTAATATTAATATTTAAATATAAGTTTTAAKTGAATTATATTTTTATTAATAATTTTTTATTAATAAATTAGTTATTAATATGTCCATCCAATGGACAGTGTGTTATAAATGCCATAACCCGACGCTTATGTCGAAAGTGTCGACTGGATAGATGTCTGGCCGTAGGAATGAAACCGGTATTTAACTTAAAAATTATTTACACATTTTTGAAAATTTGTTTTTTATATCTAAAAATAGTTTAATTTATTATTATTTTATTATTAAAAAAGGGATTAGTTTTGAATAATGAAGAACGACTGATAAGAAATCAAAATATTAGAAATAATCGACAAAAGAGATCACAGATTAAGGAAAACAGACATTCATTGACTATAATCAGTAGTACTGTGTCTGACATCGACAACAATAGTGATAGTTGTAGTCATCAAACAAATATTAAAGAAATCAATGATAATACAGATGATTGGCAATTAATTGATGAAATTATTGAACAAAAAATTACAACTTTAACAAATCATTATAAAAATTTTACTAAAAATAGTGATAATAATAATATTATTAGAGAAAGAAAACAAATTGCTTCGGAAGGCCTAATAGTACCCATTTTTAGAGATATTGAAGATGTTTGCGGTTTAAATCAATTGCAATTCACTAAAATATCAGATATCATTGATGCAAATAAAATGTTTTATAAGCCATTAAGTAAAAATGTTGTCACTATTGATAAAGATTTACTAATTGAACAGTTTTATGGCACTAAAGGTGATCAACAMTTGAAAGATTTGATCGGTTGTATTAAATCAATGGCCAGTTTTAAGGATATATGTTTTGATGACCAATCAGTGCTCATAAAAGAGAGCTGTTTTGCTTTGATTCTTATAAAAAGTTTTATATATTTTGATAGAAAAACACAATCTTATATGATTTATATTGTAAGTGATCTGTAAATAATAAGTAAACATTAAATATAATTTTAATTAAAACTAATAATTAATAGGATGACAAAACTACAGCAATTATGGATCCATTTGCAGTTACATTATATGATTCAGAAGATACTACTAATGGTCTTAAATTAATGATGCCATTAGTTGATAGATTTGCACAGGAATGGGATAGGGATCCTATTATTATGGAACTGGTAATTAAAATACAATTTGATAAATATTTATGTTTGATTATATATTCAATATAATGAATATAGAAAATTATTGATATTTTTTTCATAACATATTTTTTTTATTTCAAAGTTATCGGCTATTATGTTATTTAATCCAAATCGACCCAAACTAAAGTACCATCACTTTGTTAAGTATRTATAGTTTATTATTATTTTGTTTGTTTGTTTATTTGTTTGTTTGACTTATGTAACTATTGTTATATTAGTACTGTATTTTAAATTGTAATTTTGTTAATTATTAGACATCAACAGCAATTATATATTTATTTATTACAACGATATCTGTCAATGAAATATCGTTTACCGTATGAATGGCAAACAAAACTCGCAAATTTGATGCAATTAATGCAAGATTTTTATATGATTAGCTATTATCATAAAATCGGACTAAATTATAGTAAAGAAATAAAATTTTATTACAAACATTATTATGGACCATTAATGAAAGAATTGTATCATTAATTTTTTAAAAAATTAATTAAAATATTTTTAGTTTTAGTTATTTTAGATTCAATGTAATAAATATAAATTTTATTTACTATTTATAATTTTTATCTATTTTTAGTTTCTAATTATTGTATCAGTTTATTTTTGGTTATTGAATTTCTAAATAAATATAAATAAATACTTTACTGTATGTTAATTTTTTATACTACCGGAAAGTAATTTTTGAAATTATATCAAATAACTAGAATTTTGTTTATAAATGTAATAAATCTATATAATAATATATTTAATTAAGTAACATCAAATACAGTATAAGAAATTTGATTTTTAAAAATAGTATAAATAAATTAATTGTAGATTAATTAAAATTGCTTTCGGTTTTATAATATATATTAAAATATATTAAACAATTTAAATCAAGATATAAATTAAACTTTTAAACCATACTTGAATAATTTTAAAAACAGTATTACTTTTATTATAATATATTATTGTTAATACTATTAACTCAATAGCATTAGCGGTAAAATGTTTAGTCATCAATGATAATTTATATAGAAACTATAGAAATATTTTTATCTACTGATTAATAAATAATAAATAAAGAGATAGATACTTATTATATATACAGTATATAATATCGATATGATAAATTGACACAATTAAATGCAATATTTTAGTATTAAATTATATACAAATTGTATAATACAATTAACTATACAAAAAAAACTGTATATTTTCATTGCCTTGTGTTATACAGTATTATTTTGCATTGTTATTGTAATTAATTTTCCACTTTAAACTAAATATAAAAACTACATATGTTTTCCTAATATTTTTATTTAATTTTTAAAAAATACAAACACGTTATGTGTTAAGACTATGGCTGATGAAAAATGTCAAGTTTGTGATGATATATCAATTGGTATATTTATATACATATATTTTAAACTTTACATTTTTAGATGATAACATAAAAATTTTAATATATATATAATATTGTGTTTAAGGTCGCAATTATACAGTACTTTCATGTGAATCTTGTAAATCATTTTTTAGAAGACAAATATTCAACAATAAAGTAAAATAACTATTTTTTTAAAAAAAATTAAATTGTATTTAAATGATTTATTTTTAAAACAAATAATAAATTAGGTATTATTTTGTCCAACTAATGGTCAGTGCGTTATAAGTGTCAATACTCGACGCAAATGTAAGAAATGTCGACTAAATAAATGTTTGGTCGTAGGAATGAAACCGGTATTTAACTTAAAAAGCTATTTATCAAAAATATTTATTATTTATATAAATATATATTTTTTAAAAAACATAATTTAAAAATTATTTTATTGTTTATTTCTATATAGAGTTTAGTATTGACTAAAGATGAACGACAAATACGAAATCARATTATTAAAGATAATCGACTAAAGAGATCACAGATTAGAGAAAATAGAGATTCATTTAATATAACGAGTAGTACTCTGACTGATATTGAAAGCAATAGTGATTGTAGTAATAATCAAATAAATATTAAAGAAATCTATGATAATACAAGTGATTTGATATTAATTAATGAAGTTATAAATATTGAAAATCATAATAAAAATATTATTTGTATGAATGAAGTTAGTAGTAATAATGATATAAATAAAACTAAAAAACAATATACTTGTGAAAGTCTAATTGTACCCATTTTTAGAGAGATTGATGATGTGAATGGTTTAAATCAATTGCAATTCAATAAAATTGCGGATCTCATTGATGCTAATAAAATATATTATATGCCATCGCATAAAAATGTTATTAAAATCAATAAATCTCAAGCAATTGAAATGTTTTATGGCAATAATGGCGATGAAAGAGTGAAAAAATTGATTTGTTGTATCAAATCGATAGCAAGTTTTAAGGATATGTGTGCCGATGACCAGTGGGTGCTCACCAAAGAGGGCTATTTTGATTTGGGTCTTATAAAAAGTTTTTTAAATTATGATAGAAAAACGCAAACATTTTTAACAGAAATTGTAAGCGTTTTTTAAATTTTATTTTTCATACTGTTTAGTAATATATCTTTTTATTCATTTATATGTACTTTTTAAATAAATTTTTAAAAATTAATTAAATAATTATGTTTATTATTGAATAGGATGACCAAACAACAGGATTATTGGATATWAATATCGTTAGATTTGCTGAATATGAAGATATAACTAAAGGTATAAAAATTGTATTGGATTTGGCCGACAGATTTGCATTTGAATCGGAAAGGGATCCTATTATTATTGAATTGGTAATACATTTAATAATTATTTAATAATTTTGATTTCTAAAAATAAATTTTTACAAATAATGGATTATTTTTAATTAATTAAATTTTTTAAAAAATTTTGTTTTTCAAGTTATCTGCTATCATGCTATTTAATCCAAATCGATCTAAACTAAAACATGGAAACATTATTAAGTAAATTTACTGTAATTTTGTTTTATTTACTGTATTTGTTTTTCAATGTGATTTTTTTTATTATATTAGACTTCAACAACAATTATATATTTATTTATTACAACGATATCTATCAATGAAATACTGCTTACCGTATGAATGGCAAACAAAACTCACAAATTTGATGAAATTAATGCAAGAAATAAGTTTAATGAGTTATAATTATAAAATATCTATTAATTATAGTAATGATGTTAAATTATATTACAAACATCATTATGGACCATTAATGAAAGAGTTATATCATTAAATTTTTAATTAATTTGTTTAATTAGTATATAATTAAATTTAATTATTTAGAATTTATAATAATAATAATTTTGAATATTATATAATATACTGTATTAATATAGATTTTTATCTAATTTTTGTTCATAATTCACAAGTTAATTATAAATCAAAAGTTAAGATATTATTTTGTAAAATATAAAAATAATAAATTAATTTTTTGTAAAATAATTTGTAAAAAATTTTATTTAAATATATAATGACTAATTAAAGTATTAACTATGCTTATAAAATTTAATAAACTACATTTTTTAATTACTATTTATTATTATTATGTAAATTATTATATAATTAAAATATGTATTTTGTCAATAAATAACGTATAAATTGTTGTGAATTAATTAAAATTAAACTTTTTATGTCAATTTGACTTTTTGTTTGCTGCTGTACTTAAAAATTATTAATTTATACAATAATCTACAATCTTAAATAAAACGATAAGTCATTAATGATAATTAATATGGAAACAATGATATCTTTATATCTATTAAATACAGTATATTTCAGGAGATCCTCTATTTTAGAAATACTGTATATTATTAAATATGTTTCAAAGTACTAATTTTAATTAAATCTATGATTTACAAAATTATTGTTTTCAGTTGCAATTTGCAAACTATATTATTATCTTAAATATATTTTGAAACTAAAAATAAATAATAAATTACATTTATTTATTATTTAATTTTTTAAATTATTAACAACAATGGCCGATAAAATATGTCAAGTTTGTGGTGATAAATCAAATGGTATACCTTATTTTAAGCCTTATTTTTKAAAAATAATAARTTATCTAAAATATAATATTGTATCCAGGTAGAAATTTTGCCATATATTCTTGTGAATCTTGTAAAGCATTTTTTAGAAGAGAAATATTCAAAAATAAGGTAATACTTGTAAATATAAAATTTAATTATAAGTTATATAAAAAWATATTTTTTATAAATATTACATTAGGTATTGTTATGTCCATCAAATGGAAAATGTCTTATAAATGTCTTCACCCGAAGYTTATGTCGAAAGTGTCGACTCGACAAATGTCTGGTCGTAGGAATGAAACCGGTATTTAACTAAAAATTATTGATAATTAATAATTAATTATTTARTTTTATATAACTATATCAACAAATAAAAAAAATAAACTTTTAATTAATTATTTCTGTAATTAGGGATTAGTAATGACTAAAGATGAACGACAAATACGGCTTCAGATTATTAAAGATAATCGACTAAAGAGATCACAYATTAAGGAGAAAAAAGATTCATTGATTATAACGAGTAGTACTGTGACTGACATTGAAAACGATAGTAATGATAGTCGTCATCAAACAAATATTAAACAAATCAATGATAATACAAGTGATATGATATTAATTGATAAAAATATTGATAGAAATGTTATAAATTCAACAAATAATAATAATAACAATATAAATAAAGATAATATTAATAATAAAACAAACAAACAAATTGCTTCCGAAGGCCTAATAGTACCCATATTTAGAGAGATTGAAGATATTTGTGGTTTAAATCAATTGCAATTCAATAAAATTGCGGATCTTATTAATGCTAATAAAATATTTTATTCGCCATTAAGTAAAAATGTTATAATAATTGATAAATCATCACTAATTGAACAGTTTTATGGCAATAATGGAGATCAACATTTGAAATATTTGATTAGTTGTATTAAATCTATATCTACTTTCAGGGATATGAGTGCCGATGACCAGTGGGTGCTCACAAAAGAGTGCTGTTTTGAGTTACTTTTACTTAAAACATTCATATTTTTTGATAGAAAAATACAAAAATATATGATATATCTTGTAAGTAATTAAATATATAGATTAAAATTAGTTATTTAAGTATCCTCTAAAAACTTATTAATATTTGMTAAAAATAAATATTYTATTATTTTATTGTCTATTTTAAATAAAWTWTTTTTATAATTAATTAGGATAACAATACAACWGCACTTATGGATCCAATTAACTTAAGTAATCCGTTAGATAATATTGAAGCAAAAAMAWWATTTATGAATTTTGCTTTRAGATTTGACTTGGGATGGGAAAGGGATACCATTATTATAGAACTGGTATTACATATAATAAATAAATAAATAAATTTTATATTTAATTTTTGTTCTCAAAATAATACAAATATTTTTTTTGTTTTTAAATTTTCAAATAAAGTTATCTGCTATTGTCTTATTTAATCCAAATCGTCTCAATTTAAAACATCGTCACAATGTTAAGTAAGTTTTGAGTAATGTTTTTTTAAACATATTCAATATGTATTTAAKATATAAATAATTTTAATTGTAATTAAATGTTAATTAACAGACTTCAACAACAATTATATATCTATTTATTGCAACGATATCTGTCAATGAAATATTGTTTATCTGATGAATGGAAAACAAAATTTTCTAATTTAATGAAATTAATGCAAGAATTTTATTTAATGAGTTATTATAAAAATCATAATGAATTACATAAGTATTATAAACAATATTATGGACCACTAATGAATGAATTGTATAATTAATTATTACAAACTTATTTGATAWATACAGTCTTTATTTAGTTAATTAGAAATGTAATTACAATATTTACAACATTTAAACATARTATTGAAATTGATTTTTTTCAATCAATTTATAGCATAATTCTTAAGATTTGATTAAAATAGATTCAATAATTACATCAAAAAATAATTTAATTAATAAATATTGTAAAAATAAATTTGTTATAACTGTATAAAATGTCTACTATTGTTTTATTATATGTTTTAATAAGTATAAGTATTATTTAATATTTTAGTATTTATATAACCTATTTATATACYGTAGTTAAAACATAGAATATATGATATAAATTATTATTTACTRTAAATGAAAACAGTAAAATTTTGTTTATCTAAATTGTACTGGTAAAATTTATAATTACATATATCAATAAGTAACTAGGTGACAATTGATACATTTAAATGCAATATTATGATAAATGTAATATAAAAATATTAAAACTATTACATTTTCTTTGCATTACAATTTTCATTGTTTTGGTAATTTGTTATAATTATAACTTTGTGTTTAACTTTAACTTTATAACTAAAGTGTTTGGTGTTTTATTATTTATGTTAAAGTTTAAAGTTTTACAAAACCATATGTGATAACAATGGCTAATGAAAAATGTCAAGTTTGTGATGATATATCAATTGGTATATAAACAATTAAATAATTTATTTTTTTTAATTGTTTATTATTATTATTATTAAAATATATAAATATAATATTATGTTTAGGACGAAACTTTACAGTATATTCATGTGAATCTTGTAAATCATTTTTTAGAAGACAAATATTCAAGAATAAGGTAATAATAATAATTTAATAATTAATTAGATAATATTTGAATAATATTTTTTTTAATTAAAAATAAATTAGTTATTAGTTTGTAAATTCAGTGAACAATGCGTTATAAATGTCAAAACTCGACGCTTATGTAAAAAGTGTAGACTTTATAAATGTTTGGCCGTAGGAATGAAACCGGTATTTAAATATACATACAATTAATAAATTATTTTATATTATAACTACATTTTATAAACAGAATATATTTTGTTTATTTTATGTTATTAACCCATAAATTATTAATTTTTATAAGGAATTAGTACTGACTAAAGATGAAAGACATAAACGAAATCAGATTATTAAAGATAATCGACAAAAGAGATCAAAGATTAGACAAAACAGACATTCATTGACTATAACGAGTAGTACTGTGACTGATATTAACAGAAATAGTAATGATAGTCGTCATCAAACAAATATTAAAGAAATCAATAATAATAATACAAGTAATATGATATTAATTGATAAAAATATTGAAAGAAATGTTATAAATTCAACAAATAATAATAATAATAATATAAATGAAATTAAAGATAATAATAATACAAATAAACTAATATCTCATAGTAATGAATGCCTAATAATACCTATTTTTAAAGAGATAGATGATATCTGCGGTTTAAATCAATTGCAATTCAATAAAATTTCAAATCTGATTGAAGCAAATAAATTGCTTTATATACCATTAAGTAAAAATGTAATCGTTATTAATAAAAAAAATATAATTCAACAGTTTTATGGCGCTAAAGGAGATCAACAATTAAAAGATTTGATTTTTTCTATCAAATCAATGTCCAGTTTTAAGGAATTATGTATCGATGACCAGTGGATACTCATTAAAGACGGATATTTTGAATTGGATTTAATAAGAAATTTTAAATTTTTTGATATAAAAACACAAACATATTTATTACCAATTGTAAGCCWATTTAATCACTATTTGTTTTTTTATTTTACTTTAATTTGTTCAACAACAATTATACATTTTTACAAATTATACAGTAATAATTTATAACTTAAATATTATATAAATATTATAAATATAAATAATTTTGATTGAATAGGACGACAAAACAACAGGACTTATGAATCTCAATGACATTAAACTATCTGAAGAGTCTGATAAAAGTACAGAAAAAGTTTTAGAGTTGACTAATAGATTTGAATTGGTATCGGAAAGGGATCCCATTATTTTTGAATTGGTAAACATAGCTAATTAATTATAATTAATAATTTTGTTGATAACTTTGCAAATAATGCAATAAATTTGTATTAAATATTTAATATGTATTTTTTAAAAGTTATCGGCTATTATGTTATTTAATCCAAATCGATCAAAACTAAACCATCGAAACATAATTAAGTTAATATAATTTTGTTTTAATTATTTATAAAAATAATTATGTTTTCAATATATTTATTTATATATTATAATGTAATTTTTGTTTACTCTACTAGACTTCACCAACAATTATATATCTATTTATTACAACGATATCTGTCAATGAAATATTGTTTACCGTATGAATGGCAAACAAAATTACAAAATTTAATGCAAATAATAAAAGATATAAATACAATGAACTATTATCATAAATTATTAATAGAAAATAGTGATGTAATTAAACTTAATTATTTACAACATTGCGGACCATTAATGAAAGAATTATATAATTAATTAAACTGAAATTAATTGTAATATTTTAATTAACCAATAATTAAATTATAAATAAAAATATGCAATATTCAAAGTAAATTGATATTTATAATATATTACTTACATAAATAATTATTTAAGTTATTTCAAATATATAAAAAAAAATTATTATAGATATTATAAAAATTATGTTATATATGTAAAAAATCTTTTAGAATACTATTTCTAAAAGTAATAAACATTATTTTAAATATTATATTAAGTATTAATTGATTTCATATATGTCATAATTTATAATAAAATTATAAATAATTTAATAAAATATAAATACAAAAATAAAAATAATTTAATAAATTTATTGTTAAACATTAATTTTGTTTCTGTATAGCTCATTAACTAAATTTAATAATTTTTATTTTTTTAAATATATTATTTTTTAGCAGTTATATTAACATCGATAGATAAACTACAATTATACTATACCTGTTAATAATGCAATTAAATAGATCAAATAATAATTTTTTATCTATTAACTACTAGTATATTTAAGAGATATATAAATAACAACGTGGCAATTGAAATAATAAAATTTATTATTATGTTCAATGTATTATTAAATAATTAAAATATAATAAAAAATATACTTTATTTACTATGCATTGCGTTATGAAATTTAGTTAGTAAATTTGAAATAAAATATAATTTTAAGAAAATTAAATAAAAAATAATAATATGTGATAACAATGGCGAATAAAAAATGTGAAGTTTGTGGCGATATATCAATAGGTAATCATAATTAAAATTTTCATTTTTTTATCATTTAACACATTAACAATATTGATATTGTATCCAGGTCGAAACTATACAGTATATTCATGTGAATCTTGTAAATCATTTTTTAGAAGACAAATATTTATTAATAAGGTTTAATTAAATAATACAGTATAATAACCAATTAGATTACAATTTAAGTAATATTTTTTTTAATTAATAATTAATTAGTTATAAGTTTGTCCATCAAAAGGAAAGTGTGTTATAAATGTCATAACCCGACGATTTTGTAAAAAATGTCGACTCGATAAATGTCTGGCCCTTGGAATGAAACCGGTATTTAAAACTAAAAAATTATTTTTTCAAAATTTTAAATACAAGTAATTTATTTTAATTATCAAAATAAAGGAATTAGTTCTGAATAAAGAAGAACGACTGATAAGGAATCAGATTATTGAAAATAATCGGCAAAAAAGGTCACAAATTATGAAAAATAGAGATTCAGTAATTATAAGGTGTATTGTGTCTAATATTGACAATAATAATAATAATAATAATAGTCATCAAACAAATATAAAAGAAAGTGAAGATAATTTAAGTGATAAGATTTTGTAATAAATTAATTATAGATTTTTTTATAAAGAATAACAATGACATATAAACTATATTTTGAATTTTTTATAATATTATTATTTAAAAAAAAAATATTAAGTATTGATAGTATTTTAGTTCATAGAAGTTAAAAATATTTAACAAAAATATGTTTATCATAATACTTAATAATTGAACAAATAAATTAGTTTTAATACTTATAATTTTTATTAATATTTAATTTTATCAATAGTAAAATACTATAAATTGATTAAATTGTTTAATTGTCTATTTTTTTGTTGCTTCAATTGCTGTTGTTTGATAAAAATTATATCAGTTTTATTTTATTTGTTAACTATCATATTATTTATTTAACCTATAAATATAATAAAAGTACAATATATCGTATAATAAAAAAAACGATAAATTAACTACAATTTTACTTTTCTTGTCAATTATGCAATTAAATATATCATATAATTTGCTTTGTCATTGATGATAATTAATATGGAAACAATAACATATTTATTATTTATTAAATACAGATATATTAGAGAGAGAGAGAGAGAGAGAGAGAGAGAGAGAGAGAGAGAGAGAGATAAAAATCAATGTTTAAAATTAACAAACGATATTTTAGTTGTATTATTTAATAATATATTAATCAATAAAATAAATACTTTTACAAAACATTTAATAATGCATTGTTATTATAATTAACTTAATTATTTAAAAACTAAATGTTATAAAAACAACACATGTTTACTATTCAAATAGTCTATCGATAACTAATAGTATTATACAAAAACCATATGTGTCATAATAATGGCTGATAAAAAATGTCAAGTTTGTGGTGATATATCAATCGGTATACAGTATATGAAATATTAAAGTTATATTATTTAAAAAGTTTATAATTTATTTATTTAAATTTATAATCAAAATTATATCCAGGTCGAAACTATACGATATATTCATGTGAATCTTGTAAATCATTTTTTAGAAGACAAATATTTACTAATAAGGTAATCAATAAATATTGTAATTTTTTTGTTTAAACATTATTTAATTAATTAATTATATCAATAATAATTAGTTATTATTATGTCCATCCAATGGACAGTGTGTTATAAATGCTATAACTCGACGCTTATGTCAAAAGTGTCGACTCGACAAATGTCTGGCCGTAGGAATGAAACCGGTATTTAAATATAAACTTTTAATTATTAATTTTAGTTTTTATAAATATATATAAAATTTTATATAAATAGTTTAATTTTTTTATATAGGAATTAGTACTCAATAAATATGAACGAAATAAACGAAATCAGATTATTAGAAATAATCGACAAAATAGATCACAAATTAGTGAAAACAGAGATTCATTGACTATAACCAGTACTATGACTGACATTGAACTCAGTATTAATAGACATCAAACAAATAATAAACAAATTGACGATAATTCATATGATTGGGAACTAATAGATGAGTTAACTGAAAGAATAGTTAATTATTTTTATAACAATACATGCAATGAAGTCAATGATTATAATAATTATAAAAAAATAAAACAAATTGCTTTAAAAAATTTGATAAAACCCATTTTTAATGAAATTGATGATAAGTGCGGTTTAAATCAATTGCAGTCCAATAAAATATCTGAACTCATTGAAGCTAATAAATTGTATTATTTGCCATTAAGTAAAAATGTTTTTAATATTAATAAATCACAATTAATTGAAAACTGTTACGGAAATAAAGGAGATGAATATTTTAAAGATTTGATCGGTTGTATCAAATGTTTGAAAAGTTTTAAGGATATATGTATTGATGACCAGTGGGTACTCATTAAAGAAGGCTGTTTTGAACTACTTTTACTCAAAAGTTTTATATATTTTGATAGAAAAACACAAAATTATAATATATTTATTGTAAGCGATTTTTGTAATAATTTTTAACTGTATATTTTAAAAAATTGAATATTTAAATAATCAAATTTTAAATAAGTATAGTAATTTTAATTTACATAATCTTAAATTTTTTAATAGCATATTATTTTATAATAATTATATTTTTAAATGTTTTTAATTAGGATAACCAAACAACAGCAGTGTTGGATCTCAATGTTATAAATTTATATAAACATAAAGATTATCCTAAAAAACTTGAAAAATTTATGGAGTTTGCTAATAGATTTGATTTGGGATGGGATAGGGATCCCATTATTATGGAATTGGTAATATATTAACTAAAAATTTTTTCAATTTTTAAATATCTATATTATATTATATTTATTATTATTATTTAAAAAGTTATCGGCTATTATGTTATTTAATCCAAATCGACCCAAATTAAAACATCAATACTTTGTTAAGTAAGTTTAATTTATTTGAATATTTTTTTAAATAAGTTTTTAATTAGATTATTAAAAATAATTTATTTTTAATTAAATATTAGACTTCAACAACAATTATATATCTATTTATTACAACGTTATCTGTCAATGAAATATTGTTCACCGTTTGAATGGCAAACAAAACTCGCAAATTTGATGAAATTAATGCATGAAATATATTTAATTTCTTATAATTATAAAATTGGTATCAATTTTAACAATGATATTCAATATTTTTACAATAATTATTATGGACCTTTTATGAGAGAAATAATTCATTAACTTTTAGTATAAATATAATAATTACAGTATTAAAAAAAGTAACATTAAAAATTTTAAAAAATGAAAACAGTAATTTTAGAAAAAATATTAAATTCATGGAAATAATTTAGACACTTGGGTTAAAACATATGCTTAATTGTATTTAATAATAAGCATTAATTATTGATATTTTTTTTAATTAGATTAATAAATAAAATATTTTATGTAACTTTTAGTTATTTATTTGTAAAATTAAGTATATATATAACCGTAATTTATTATCAATGTTAATAATAATTAATAATTTTGTTTCTAAAAATAATTTAATAAAATGATAATTTATACAATATTTAATAAATAAAGTACGTATACTAAGTGATAAATCATGATAAGTGATAAAGATATACATGTACTTAAATATTATACATTACTAGTAAATGGTGCAATTAAATATATMTATTACTGTAGTACAATACAATCAGTTAAAATGTGGAGTCATAATTGATAATTAATATGGAAACATTGATATATTTAACAATTAAAAA